GGTTAAGGGGGAAGGTTCTCGTTCCGAGTTGGGGGGTCGAATAAGGCATACGAGCACGTACACTGCACATCCTCTTGGGACTCAGCCGCTCTTTATGCTCGATATAATACCGCTCTCTCAAAACATGCATACTTCTCTGAGTCTTTTAACTTGTGTGTGTTGCCCCGGTGCGACGTCGTGCCGCGTCGCGACAAGATACTTTGCCGCGTGGAGTGCCCCGTTGTAGCCGTGTGCGTTGTAACAATGGATATACACCGCCACGTTACTGGCAGACGCGTGCATGAACAAATGTAACTCCACAGTACGTTACTACGCGTGTGTACACACGCGAGTGTACGCGAGAAGGCAGGCGGATGCCCGAATGCGGTTCGCACGCGCTCGTGCATTCAACGCGCGCCTACCCTTTCTCTCTTTGATGGGACACATAGGGGGGTAGCACGCTTAGAGCAAGGAAAAATATTCGTGAACTGAACGGTGGATATTTTAATTTCGAATTTGCGATTTATAAAATTATAGGTTGAATCGATACGGTTGTATCGAGGATAAATAATTATCTACGGAGACGTATGTTGACATACGTCAGTGTACACAGACAATTAGTTTACTTGCCGTTTTGACGAGCTTCTCATTTGGCTCGGAATGATTAACGCATTGCCTCCTCGTCGTTAAGGCAAGAAATTAGCTGTAATATTGAACTCTCGCCGCGCGATCTATATAATATGCGACAATTAGAAAACCTCTTCTAGATCATTACGGAACAAAACCGAGCGAACGAGGCTTTAGACCGTTAAGCCGCGACATTGGGAGAAACGGCGGGGATGGAGGTGGAGGCTTTCCCCGTCGATACATTATACGCTTTGAAGCGTACACCGTCGTCGGAGAAAACTCCTCTCTCAGGTCTTATCCTATTACAGTCAAGCTTGGCACTTTCTAGCTAAGTCGAAGACAAGACCCCTTCGCGCTGCTCCCATTTAGTAATCCCCGACGTTGGCCGGGAGTTTACAAGGAATATTTAAGTCTCCGCTAAGCTAGGATTAAGCGAAGGCAAACACTTTGATTAGTGGAGACGAGCTCTTGTTTTTACCTACGATGGCGTCTTTCAACCGCCACCGGCAATTGGGCTCGCGGATTAACGTTAACAATTCTCGGTAATTATTATAGAGGCGTAAGGTAACGCCTTAGGAAACCGCGTGCAGAAAAATAACCTTATAAGTTTGCCCGATATTTGATGTAGCTCTTAGAATTAAGAAAATGCATCACCCATATAGATTTTTATCAAACAATTTAAGTCGATTAGATTATTATTATTAAGCATATTAAATTACGCACTTTTTACAAGTAAAATAAACTAGTAGTAAAATAAATGCTTTTAATGTAGCACAATGATTATAATTCAAGCAATATCTAAATTTAAGAAAATAATGAACAATCGCAATGTTTCTGAAATATTTGGATAAGTTTCGTTTAAATAAATGAATATATTTCTTTTTATCAATTTAATATTTAGCAAATTTTTCATTTAGACGATATTTTATGTAATTCTTCAATTTTTAATAGTAGGTATCTTCAGATTTTATAGCAATGTGGTATATAATTAAACTTTGGATAAAAATTCTATTACATAAAAGCTTAAAGGTTATAAAATAAGATTCTGTTATTTATTTCCATCGTTTTTGATTTGTGCAAAAAGCTTTTCATTTTTAACTATTTGTAAAACAAAATCTATTAAAGCAATTATTTATTTATATAGGGCGTCCACTAAAACGTGGTAAAATCAATAAGGAGATTATTCTTCGTGAAAAAAACAAATAAAAAACGTAAACTATTGTTCTCGAAAACTACATAGCCATTACATAACCAATTAAAATATTTATTCTATGCTTTTATTTTGTTACTACAATTTCTTGTATAATTTACTTGTTCTCTTGTAAAAAATAAAAATTTTCGATTTGGTCTCAGTTTTTTTGTCAAGAATTATAACTTTGTCAGGATACAGAAATATTTTGCGTGATAAAAATCAGCGAGCCATACATTTTTCGCGGAATGTAATAAGATCACATAATAACCATGCATCAATCTTAGAAATCTAAATAGTATTATTTCAATTTCTTCACGCCACATCGCGTAACTCTATTTGAATCAATTTTCTTCTCTTGGTGAAATTGGTCTTAATTTTTCGCCTACGGAGCTACGATGTTTTATAATAACGTGCCAACTAAGACAGCGGTGGGCAACGAGGGTGGAAGAAAGTACTCTCCCGCGGCGACAAAAAAGTTCATATTTTTTCAATTACGGGACGAGCGAAGAAGTGAGGGTAGATTCTCGTTGAGACGAGAGGGTCTTTCGACGCCATTAACACTCTCGTAAAAATACGACCGTCATCTTTGTCGCATCAACTCTTCCGCTTAAATATGAAATTAACAACTATCGTACGTAAAAGGGGCCGAAATTATCTGATGACGTTCGAATCAGTTTTTCTTATACTACTTAAATTTACGATGAATATGCAAATTAAAATTAACTACTTGATTCTTTGAAAAGGTATTGGATAAATTAATTTATGAAAAAAACTGATTCTTTGCAAAAAAAAGTAAGCAGTTCGATTTAGAGTACCATAAACGTTATGGTAACGTATCGAACTTGTTTTAAATAATTATGATTTTGGATAGACACACATTTGGAAAGTGAATAGGCGCAAACGGCGTTGAATGAAGATGTAAATAGAGTCCATTGACTGTACGACCGACGAACAGGCAAAGTCAACCGCGCTCCCGCGAGCTGTTCTCCGCGATCTCTGATTTTCGGCCGGATCGGAGAATCGAAGACACTCGCGTTCGGCGGAACGACGAGCGACAGGTCGGGCGACAGCGGGACTATCAGGAGGTATCCCCGAGTGTCGGCATTTGTACGGGCAGTTTGGCGGAAGCCGGTTTGGGGGTGGTTTTCGGGTAGGGCCGTGAGAGACGAGGGGGGCCGCGCTGCGAGAGAGGGGCGATTGTGTTCTGCGTCATGTATAATTCACTTTCATCGCTCGGGTCTCGCGTCGGCAGCTCCGGACCCCCGTCCGCGTGCCCGTTATATCTGTT